CATACAGAGGAATCAAGGGTATGTGGGGAGGCCAGAGAAAAAGAGGGGGAGGGGAAAGGAAATGGGGGGGGCTCTCACGTCTCCCCCACCCCATCTCATCATCTTAAATTTAGAAACCAATTATCACGGTGGTCAGAAATAGCCACGGTTTATGTTGCAGGAATAAAAACATTCTGAGCTGGTCTTACCGCCTTTCTTTATCCAAGATCCTCTTAAAGTTAATTTCCTGAGGAAGGAGTCTATTCAGCAGAGGAAGAGAGACAGCATGAGGGGACTCCAGCTTTCCATAATGGGAAAGGCTTCAAGTGGAAAAACTCAAGAGTGGTGCCGCACCAGGGAGCGTGCACAGCTTCCACCAGTGGGGGCCTTCAAACTACTCTGGGAAACGTAAGGGGTAACTTAACCCCCTGAACTTTGGATAGTGATCTGGTCATATCCTATTATAGAAAACCCTTTGTTTAAGCCCCAAGAACGTGTAATGTGCCGCAAAGTTCCAGTTATGTCAATATACGCAATATTTATGGAACAGGAACCGGGAAGTCTTCAATGTCTGCAGGAAGCAAACCCGATGAAAAGGAAACTTCCTTAGGCTCCAACGCTAGACTAGCTAAAGGTGGAGGAGAGAGCACAAATGCAATTTGGTGCTGGTTCTGGTTTTCTCCTACAACCTGTGGCATTATAAAAATACTCACGTAACACAAACCTGCTTTGGAAAAAGTGTCTGTCAAAACAAACCAGAAAAAAAGGTGTGAGTTTCTAGAATGTTTTCCCCAAGAAGAGGGAACAGTGAAAATATTCTGCAAAAATGAAGTCAAGAAGTAATGAACATAGCCCGGCTGGTGTGCTCAGTGGATGAGCGTCGACCTATGAACCAGGAGGTCACGGCTCAATTCCCAGTCTGGGCACATTCCCTGGTTGCAGGCTCGATCCCCAGTAAGGGGCATATAGGAGGCAACTGATCAATGATTATCTCTCATCATTGATGTTTCTGTTTCTCCCTTCCTCTCTGAAATCAATAAAAAGTTTTTTGTTTTTTTTTAAAGAAGTAATGAACATAAAGAAATTTAGAGAGGAAGCTCTAATTTCAGAAACACATGAGAATCCAGTCTTAATAATCTGGTTGTCTTCTATAGTAAACCTCTAGAGGAGATAAGAAGCCATGGGACAAACGAAGCTCCAGAATGTTTTTGCCAAGCATTTATTTAAAATTTCACTTAAAAATGGATATATAATGGAGAAGAATACAAGAATCACATGATTCCTAAAAATAAAAGAAATTTCAAACTGGCTGGTATGCTCAGTGGTTGAGCACCCACCTATGAAAGAGGAGGTCATGGTGCAACTCATGGCACAGGCCCGGGTTGGGGGTTCGATTCCCAGTGGGGTGCAAATGAGAAGCAGTGGATCGGTGATTTTCTCTCATCATTGATGTTTCTACCTCTCCCTCTCCCCTCCTCTCTGACATCAGTAAAAATATATTTTTAAAAAACATTATTGCGCCGAAACTGGATTGGCTCAGTGGATAGAGTGCTGGCCTATGGACTGAAAGGTCCCAGGTTCGATTCCGGTCAAGGGCATGTACCTTGGTTGCGGGCACAGCCCTAGTAGGGGGTGTGCACTAGGCAGCTAATCGATGATTCTCTCTCATTGATGTTTCTAACTCTCTATCCTTCTCTCTTCCTCTCTGTAAAAAAATCAATAAAATATATTTTAAAAAAAGATCACTGCTACGTCAGGTCTGGTCGATTTTCACACCTTCACTAATTATACTGAAGGCAACAGTGGTGGACAGTCTGCCATCACTCTACGGCAGTGGTGCTTACCCGGAGGCAATCTGTCTTTCCCCCCCTCTGCCCCCCGTTCCCCCTCACCAGGAACATATGACAATGTCTGGAAATATTCTGGGTTGTCACACCTGGAAGGAAAATGCTGCTACCCACAGAGGGGAGAGAGCAGGAAGCTGCTGAAACAAAGTTTCACTTTCTCATCCAAAACAAACTGATCCTTTCGAAAGGCGGTGGAAGAGACTATTCCTGTAGTGACTCACAAGCAGCCCAGAGCAAACAGACATTTTAAACTTCTTTTTAATCTTAAAAAAAAAAAAAAAAAAAAGGCCAAAACTCCTGTCCTAGAAGACAGCCCCAGTCACGTACTGCTCAGCAAGCACTAGCAGTAATATGGTCTCTGCACCACGGAGGTGGCCACACACCCCAGCCATCTGCTCAGCATAAACCATCTGCCAGGCAGGGAGGAGGAGGAAGAGTAAGTAGCTGTCCTCCCTAGCTCTCTCTGCCGGGAGCTGGGGAGCCTCCCTGAAGCTGAAACCCCTGGAGACCCAGCAGCTGAGCTCCTGACTGAACCCTGGGATTAGAATTCGGCAGGGAAGGTGGCTCAGTCCTGCAGAGCTGGCACAGGTAGCTCTCCTTATCTGCACCTCGTGGCCAAGCCTAAAGCATCCCCCTGGTTCAAAGCCGTCCTGTCTCCTTCGCTGCTGCCTCTGGCATGCGGAGCATTTGCACTTGCCTCCTTGAAGCTGCAGAGCAAATAGGGCTGTGCATACTGCACATTTTTAACCGAGCCTGTTTACTGAGCCCCGGTTCCCCGTGTCGCTCTCACCACCTATTCAGAGCATAAACAACTTGAGCCTCCAATGCCATTCTCTGGGTCAAGGGCACCTTGGAAATATGATGAGCTCATAGTAAGGGCAAGGAAATTCCAGTTTCGGGAAAGGCAAAGTGAGCCGCTCAGGTTGTTCTCTCCATTGGAACTGTATGTCTTGATCTTCCTTTTATAACAGCACAAGCTCAAACATACCTGAGCAAATAAATGCGGGCTTGCTAGGAAAGCAACATTAAATGTAAGGGCAAAACCTCCTGTGGAGGGAAAAGCATGCTAAGTAGAACTGATTCTACTTTAATTCCGACTTTCAAAAGTCTGTATGTATTGGGCAGTTCCATGCAAGTTCAAGAATAAAAGTTGTACCCTACTGGCTGAAAAACCCTTAATGGTTTCATCAAGTCACCAAAGACATCATAATCAAGACTACATTATATTTAAAATTGGTGTGATATACTTCATCATTAAAATAAAAAGCGTAGGTAAAGCTTTTGGTCCCTTGAGACAGAACAAATACTTCAACAGCTGGAAGATGTTAAAAGTCAAGAGTTTTGGCATGTGAAGAGTCACATATATAATTACTCTTCCCTAAAAACAAAACATCTCGACAAACGCCAAAAAAACATGCTATCTCATAGGAAACCAACAAAACATAAGAACACAAATTATAATGTCCCTCCAATCTTTTATTTATAAACTTTACTTAGCTACTAGAGCTATTTAAACTGCCCCAAGGTAAGATAAATCATTTTTTCTTACAGATACGGGAACACTATTTTCCTAAGTGAAGAAAAACAATCATCAGCATCTTTACATATTTATCATAGCTGTATTATGGCTTGTTAGGGTAGACCATTCAAAGTTTTCATTTCAGCTAGACTGCCAAGCAGCTGAAATCATTCATAACACAGTCTGACTAAAAGGAACAAAAAGCAAAGCTCAACCTCTGTTTCTTTTTCTCCAATCTTATTTTTTTTAATTGAATTTATTGGGGTGACACTGGTGAATAAAATTGTATAGGTTTCAGGCATACAATTCTGTAATACATATCTCCACATTCTATTGTGTGTTCACCACCTCAGTCTTCTTTCACCACCTTTTATCTCCCCTTACCCTCTTCCACCTCTCCCACCCTATTTTTTCTCTGGTAATCATCCCACTGCTGTCTGTGTCCATGAGTCTTTTTTTTTTCTTTCTTCACTTAATCCCTTCACCCCTCTCACCCAGCCCCCATCTCCTCTGTCTGACAACTGTCAGCCTGATCTCTGTATCCCTGAGTCTGTCTCTACTTTGCCAGTTTATTTTGTACATCAGACTCCACATAGAAGTGAAAGAGTATGGTACCTGTCTTTCTCTGAACGGCCAATTTCACTTAGCGTAATAGAATATTTAAGCTAAAACGTCAGCTATTCAGAAGTAGGATTTGAATAAATATTTTTGACAAATTAGAACATTTATTTTTCATAATCCTAGAGGCCTGTTTCCATGATTCTCTTCGCCTTGTCTAAACTGTACCCTATGAACCACCCCTTCTTCAATTCTATGCCAGCAATTCTGCCCACTTGCTTGCCTTAGTATGTGGAAAGAACACACCACAAATTTATGGTGTTTAAAGTTCACATTCTGGGAACGATGGAATATTTATGAAGGACCAGCAGGAAAATATTTTACAATCCTACATACCCTGAGCATAGTTAATAAAGAATGTTCCCGCCAATTCTTTGCGGGAAGAGCTAAGGAGAGAGAGTGTGTGTATGTGAGTGTGTGTGTAGTGGGGACAGATAGAACAAATACTGAAAAAAAAAAAAAAAAGACTTGTACAGAATCCCTTCTGTTTATCTATCCACAGCAGGATATGAATACACACCCAGAAGTCTGAAATCGGAGGCATAAACATGCTGCCAGCAGACTGATTTACTTTCTATTCCCTTGAGAAGAGAGTATGAGAGTCTCGCCAGCATCTTCCCAGTCACTGGGAAACCTTTTAGACTAACAACCATTAAGAGAAGTGGATTTTAAATTAAGTTACAAGGAGCACTAGACTTGCACTAGCTCATTATCAACCAGAGGAGAGGTTCTATGGAGAAGAAATTTGAAAAATGCTCATTGGGAATAATAAGAGTGTTGACTCCCCACGGATATCATGAGAACTCAAAGATAAAAGTAAATAAAATGCTTACAACAGTGGCTTTGCACACTGCAAAGGACTCTAGTCTTAACTCAACAGGTACTTTAAAGAAAAGGAAGCACATTTGCTACTCTGATTCCATGTGCAGAAACTATACATCTCCTATCGCAAGCTTTGAAAGGACGATCTCCTTGAACAAGCATCTGAATGGCAGAGCTGGGAACATGGACACACAGCAGGCCACACAAAGGCTTACCTCTTCTTCTTGGTGATGATGAGCACATCATTAAAAAGAAAGAAGTAGACTTGCTGCTTGGACGTCCTTTTTGAGAAAAGCACCGTGTCTTCCACATAGGCTGTCAACTCACCTCTCTTCACCAGCCACCGGGAGGAGGAGACCAGAGGGAAAGGCTACAAACAGAGAAGAACTCAGCACCAAAGCCAAAGGAGAGAGAGCGTCTAAGATGATGGAGATTAAAATATGAAACTTATATTCAAATACAGTATGGCATGCAGCATTATTTTATAGACACACTAGTGGCCCAATACACAAAGGAAGATTTGTGCAAGAATGGGCCTTCATTGCCCTGGCTGCAGGCACCAGCTTCGCTATGGCCAGAGCAGCCTTTCTGCCTTCCCACACCGCCCAGAGGCCATAAGCGGCTGGGGTGGTGCAGAACTTCTGCGTTCTGCTTAGTCCCTGGCTGCTGGGCACATGTGTATGCAAATTAACCCACCATCTTTGTTGGGTTAATTTGCCTGCCCAGTCCTGATTGGCTGGTGGGTGTCGCAAAGATACGGTCAATTAGCATGTTATCTTTTATTATGTAGATTATAACAAAATATAATAAGTAGAGAAGTATAGTAATTCTCCAATAGAAAGTGAGCCACAACAATTTATTTTCCAATATGAAAACAACTTGCCTACATGTAACTAAAACTCAAAGAGAAAATGTTATTGGGTCAACCAGAAAGGATTATATTGTCCTTCCATTAACTCTCAGATGAAAAAGATCAAGAAGGGAGTCAGTTAACACTGAAATGCCTCAAAATGAAATCTATAAGTATCAATTGCAGTTACTTTAAATATCACAAACCAGTATCATCTAAACATACAGGAAAATGGAGATAACTGTAGTCAACAAGAGCCAAATATAAAAGTCTGCATTCCTTTATGAACTGAGTAGACTTTATTCAAACGGAAAAACAATCCTCTTAAATGTATGGTTTGTCAGCCGATTACTGACTTAGCCATATTCTGAAGAACACCTGTTCTTAAATGTATGGTTGTTTTCCCCCTGGAAGTTCATCCCTGAAAGCATCATGCCATTTTTCCAGGCTGAGGAAAATGAGGTTTTTCCCAAAATAATCCATCTTAATCTCAGAGGAAAGACTGGATACAAGAAATTACATAGTTTTTTAAAAATTCAGTTTCCAGTTTCCGACTGGAAAACTCTCAAAACCACAGGATAATCCTTACCCTGAGAGCTCTTTTTTTTAAGTTACCAGAAATGCTTACTGTAAAAAAAATTGATTTAAAAAAATTGTATCCATAAAATAAGCAGAAGTTCTTAGACACACAAAACATAACTGTAGTAGCTTAGTACAACCAAATGTCATCCTTCTCAGGGACTAATGATTAAAAATAGCTAAAGGAAATTGAGGATATTGGAGAAGAAATAAGAAAGCTAAGAGGATTTCTTTTTTCTTTTCTCTTCTTTTTTTTTACTTTATAAAGAACTTTTATGAGCAGGTTGCTCATCAGTTATGTACTGTTTTCCAGAAGATTTAAAAAGGAAGAGAAAACATTATGGCTGACCTCAAAATTTCCAAACTTGCTATTAAGGGAGTTCATGGAGTTTCCAGACCCAAATCTCAACTCAGATGATTATCCAACAGGAATGGCTGAAGCTTAAAAGGCCGGCAGACAAAGATAGCTTCTTAGACCATTATGGGGAAGCCCACCTACACACAATAGGTCACCGCCAAGAACTGTGTGTCAGGCCGAAACCGGTTTGGCACAGTGGATAGAGGGTCTGCCTGCGGCTGAAGGGTCCCGGGTTCGACTCCGGTCAAGCACATGTACCTGGGTTGCGGGCACATCCCCAGTAGGGGGTGTGCAAGAGGCAGCTGATCGATGATTCTCTCTCATCAATGTTTCTAACTCTCTATCCCTCTCTCTTCCTCTCTGTAAAAAAATCAATAAAATACATTTAAAAAAAAAGGAAAGAAATATGTGTCAGGTTTGGTCCTGCTGAAGGTATGGAATTACTGGGGACACTGTGCTATCTTGCTGTTGCATGTAACCCTATAGTATGAACCAAGAACAGTTTTATGATTAAGTTCTTAGTTTAGGGGAAGAAAGTTTTTAAAATTGGTTTGTTGTTTTTGAAATACATTGACTTTTATAGGTTCCTCATACTCTACTAGGCAAAAATAACTATCTAAGGAATATCTAAAATAGGCAGTGGCTTCCAATATGTATATGCCTCTTTTGAAAACAAAAATCCGATATTATAAAATTTTTTTGTTTCAGAATTTATTATAAGATGAAACTCATTCTTTAAAGAAGAAGAAGAGAAGGAGGAGGAGGAGGAGGAGGAAGAGGAAGAGCAGGAGGAGGAGGATAAAGAGGAAAAGAAATTATGAAAATGCCCAAGAGAAAAGAATCCATAAGTGAATTCTTGGAATTCAGAAACTCTAAGACTAAAATTCAGGTGTAAATAAAAAAACTAGAAAAAAAAGTTCATGGATAAAAACATATCCCTAAAGAGAATCATGATGTAAGTCCTGGGGAGAAAAGACTTTTCATCCTTTTTTTGTGTTATTTGGCATCCTAGAAAACTAGTCTCAGTATAAAATTGAACTAATTTTATGAGTCAGCAAGATAAGAAAGAGCTGCTGAAGAGCAAATATATATTTTTATTGATTGAGAGAAAATTAATCCTTTAACCATTTAAAGGTATACATATAACCCAGTGGCTTTCAGTACCTTCTCAAGGTTGTGCAATGGTCACCACTATATAATTCAGAACATTTTCAACACCCTAAAAAGAAACCCCAAATGCCTTGAGTCACTCTCCATTCTGTCCTCCCTGCAAAGCCCTGGCAACCAGGATTCTACTTTAACTCCATGGGTTGCTTATTCTGGGCATTTCATATAAAAGGAATTATACAATATGTGACCTTTGGAGTCTGATTGCTTTCATTTAGCGTAATGTCTTCAAGGTTCATCCATGTTGTAGCATGTATCAGGACTTTGTCCTTTTTTATGGCTGAGTACTATTTCATTGTATGAATATACCACAGTTTGTTTACCACCTCGCCAATTTTGTTGATGGAGACATGTGGGTTGTTTCCACTCTTTTTTTTTTTTTTTTTGGCTATAATGAAAAATGCTACCATGACCATTTGTGTACAAGTTTTTATTTCAACAACAGTCTTCAGATCTCTTGGGTATGTACCTAGGAGTGAAATTGCTGGGTCATGTAGTAATTCTGTTTAACTTGTTGAGGAAATATTAACCTGTCTTCGACAGTCCAAAGACTTTTCAATGCCTTGGAGTTGTTCATGTTGTGTTACATCTTGGATTTGGAGTAGGAAGCCTTACCTGACTGATACAAGCTCCCCATCCTTCTATCCCGCACTCCTGGGGCTGACCATTCTCCTGTCTCCCATGTACTGTGACAGCTACAGACTTTGCTACTAACTCCTTTGCATTTCTGTAATTTTCTGTGAGATTTTAGCTTGTCCTTCCTACTGCCTTCCACAAATAAGATGCTTGTTAAACTCATGAACTCACTTGGTGTTAATCACTTACTTTTACAGACCCCTGGGGTAAGCTTTCTTCAATTATATATTAATTTTGCATTCTATAGAAATAAAGTTTAAATATATTTTAAATAAATTGATTTTCATCTAGGAAGGCAAAAGAAACATGGTTAGGGAAGGAATTTTTAAAAAGAACAATAGTTAGGGGTTTGCCATCTTTAAAAAGAAGATTAAAAAAAGAAAAAAAGAAACAAACAAACAAACAAAAATCAGCCCAGCCCACATGGCTCAGTGGTAAGCATTGAACCATGAGGTCTCGGTTCAATTCCGGTAAAGGCACATGCCCAGGTTAAGGGCTCGATCCCCAGCGTGAAGCACGCAGGAGGCAGCTGATCAATGATCCTCTCTCCCTCTCCCTTGCTCTCTGAAATCAATAAAAATATATTTTAAAAAATTGTAGTAGCGAGCAGCACAAAGTCAACATAAAGAATTATGGGGAAAAAACAAATTTGCAAAGAACAATCTACAATAGGGGTGTCGAACTCAATCAGAGAAGGGGCCAAAATCTAAAATCCAGCCTAAATCGCAGGCCGAATGGTTTACTGAACAGTCATAAACTGTCATTGTGATGGAAACGCAGCGGAGTGCAGTGATGACAGCGCGGTGCGGGCCACATTGCAAGGCCTGGAGGGACGGATTTGGCCCGCGGGCCTTGTGTTTGACACATGTGATCTACAACCTGTTTCTGCAAACTGGACAAGGAGTGTCCTTATTGGATTTGGGAGAACAGCACGGTCCAGCTCCTGGGATACGATACCACTGTTTTGTAGGACACTTCGGAAACCTAAAAGAAAGCTCCTTTCCATACTAAAGTTCTATTCGCTTTTTTTTTTTAAGTACTTTTATTCATTTCAGAGAGGAAGAAAAGATCAACCATGAGAGAGAATCACTGACAAGCTGCCTCCTGCATGCTCCACAATGAGGATCAAGCCCACAACCCAGGCATTATGTCCCGAACAGAAGTCAAACCATAACCTCCTGGTTCATAGGCCGATGCTCAACCACTGACCCACACCAGCTAGGTAAATTCTATTATTTTTAACTACCCTTTCCCCAAGTTTGCTGGCTTCCTTGGGGGGGTTGGGGGGAGGAGAATGTTCTCGTGAGATCATACCTAACTGTGGTTTGTGGAAAGGTCGCTTAATCTGGCATAAAAGGAATAGAATCTCCCTCAGCATCTGTTATTTTCTCTGCCAGCCTCTCTCTAATCAATGCATGGTCCTTCTGCATTGATTAGAGAGGGGGAGATAAAATCCTATCCACTTCTGTTGCCCTCAACTGTCTTCATATTTATAGAAGCCTTAAGCAAGAGCAGTAATAAATCTGTTTATGAAGAAGTGCAAAAATACCTTAATTTTAAATTCCAGCTGGGAGTTAATTGTGTACATCATTTCTGTCCTTTCCATCTTCCGGGCTCCTTCATTGCACAGTCGAACCAACTGGGAACACAGAAAAATACGGAGGGTTGAGAGATCCAGGAGAGGAACCCCACTTTCAAAAGCAGATCTCTCTCGCAGGAAGTCATCAGCACTGGGGAAGCTCTACAGACCCCTCTCTGACGGTTGAAGAACTCACTTTTACACAGTTAAGACACTGTCCTCAGTGAGAAGTGGGGTCACTAGGATGTGAAGACAGAGGAGGAAAGTCTCCTAAAAATGTCTAGGTACACATGTCCTTGGTGAGTTGTTATTACATCACACCCTCCACACCCAGGTTCCTTCCACAGGCCCAGGCCCTAGTCCCTGAGCATTCTGTTCCTTTCTTCTGCCCCTCCTGCTGGCCTCAACCCAACCTCTCACCCACCCTCAGGGCACGCTGCACCTTTCTCCTCACTGTCAAGTCAGAGCAGCTGGAGGCAGATGACCAAGGTCACAGGCAAATTCCAAGCAGAGTGACTAGTAATTCAAAGCATATGTTTAGTAAGGGGAAGCCTTCATCTAGGGAAAACCTGATGGTCAGTGACTCTTCAAGAATGGCCAGGTTCAGGGACATTCACTGTAATTAAAGATTATGAATGATCTACAACCGAATCAGTCCTTTAGTGATGGCCTGGGACATTGTGATTTATAATAAGAAACATATAGTTGGTCTTTGTCCATAGTTCCCAGCACAAAGCATCTAAAACCCTCGTAATTTCCTATATAGGAGCCACGAGGGGCATCTTTAGTCATAATATGATATTTATTTATAACAGGCCCCTTTAAAAAAACATCTTAATTTATGTCAATGAGGTAACTTTAAAAAAGCCGCTAACCATCACCGTGGTTTCAAGGGCTGGTGTGCCCGGCACAGCAGTTGACATGCAATAAATATTTATTTAATGAGGAAATCAATAAACAGCTATTCAGACCCCACAGGAAACTGAGACATCTATAGGCCCTTAAAACAAGATGGCCTGACACGGTAAAAATTCACATTTCACTTGAGTGTAGCAAACATCATTTTGTTTTTCAGCTCCCTAAAGAATGCTGTGCAATTGGCTGTGAGAATCTACCAGTTTTCAGCACCAAACCCAGACACATTCTCTTCTACGAGATCCGAGGGTTTTACTGTTTGAGGAGCTACCCAACAGTTACCTTGCTTACTTCCTTCAAGGCCCTTTTACAGACTTCATACTTTGGAGAGTCCTTAGGAGTTTTTTGGCAGATAGTCTGTAATAAAGTAAAAGAAGAAAAAAAAATTAATTGACTGATTTTACTAAGTATGATAAAACCAATGCCCAGACATACCCTCTCACTCAGCAAACGTCACAATGCTGAATACAATATTACGGGTGGATATGACGATGACATTAAAATCCAGTGACATAAGTCATGAAATGTTCTCTACACACAGAGAATCCAAGTGAATCCAGGAAATGGTGAAATAAGAGGAGAGACTTCAGAGGTGGATGAACCCGATTTCAAATCTGAACTCTGCCCCCTTATTCCCTATTTGATCTAGGGTGAGTCCTATAAAACTCAATTTCTTCATCTGTAAATTCAGAATAATGCCAGCTATGTTACCAGGTGGCTGCCAGGGTTAAATGATAATACATGTACAATAAAGTGTTTTATGAGTGCCTGGCATATAGTAGGCCATCAATAAATGATAAAATTGCTTTCATTATCATCATCATCATAATCATCATTAGAAGTGAACTAATTCTGTATAGAACATGACTGTATAAAGATACCAAGGGAAAAAAGGCTGCTAAATTTTCTCTTGATATATTTATACTGCAATTTTTTGTGACGGTAAAATTGAGCTCAAATAAAGTGAATTCAAGGTAAACTGAATTACACATAACTTTTGAAACTAGACCTGATTCAAAACCAACAAAACTATTTCGAGTGTTAAAACTGTTCATCTCAATTAAGTTTAAATCATTTCAAAATACATTTAAATCTCCAAATGAAGTAAAATTGAAGAGATAATGTTTGAAGTCCATTTAGATTCTGCCCCAGTGGCCAGACTCTCTCAGAGGAGAAGAGATTAGGGCAGTGGGAATCAGGTGAAGGGGGAAGGTAGGTATATCTAGCAAACCATTGGTTCCTACGATGGCGGTAAGTACCAGGCCTACAAACCTGAGGTCGGGTGTCAGGATTGTTACATATGATGTGTCAGAAGAAACACAGAGAGTGCCATCTGTGGGTTTATAGTCATGGTTCTCAAATATTTTTGACTATGACCCACTGCAGAAAATACATTTAACACCATGACAGGTATACATGCAAACAAAAATGAAACAAGGTTTTGTGTGTGTTTTTTAATAAAATAATACTTAACCACATTATGGACCGTGTACATGACATGTAGAGTATGTTCTGTTTTTCCTTTTAAAAAGTGCTCATTTTTCAAAAGTCAATTTTGTGGCAGACTAAGAGGAATGAAAATAGTTTTAAAAATACTGGCTTATGCCCCTGAGAGGAGGCACCCTAAATTCATAATGTCTCTACACACTTCGATTTTATGTAAATGTGGTGCATACTGAATTTTCTAGGGAGAATGACTACAGCTTTACTCAGCACCTCAAAAAAAAAAAAAAAATAGAGCTCACTGGACAATAAGGGCATTAAACCCCCATTATGGTATGTTTGATTTTGTTAGTCTCAATCTATTCAAGCAATTTTGCCAAAATTAAACAGAATATGAAAGGCTGAGAGATGGCAGTATATACAGAATCTAAGGAAACATGGCTAGAATAATGCACTTTCAGAAGAAGAAAGAAACCTGAAAGTTTGTAATACAAGAAAACTGACATTTAGAAAGCACCCATTTCTTATTTAAAATAGTAATGTTTGAAATATTTCCCGATACCCGTGGTTGGCAAACTGCGGCTCACGAGCCACATGCGGCTCTTTGGGCCTTGAGTGTGGCTCTTCCACAAAATACCACGGCCTGGGCAAGTCTATTTTGAAGAAGTGGTGTAAGAAGAAGTTTTAGATAAAAAACTTGGCTTTCAAAAGAAATTTCAATAGTGGTACTGTTGCTATTTGGCTCTGTTGACTAATGAGTTTGCCGAACACTGCCCTATACAACTCAAAGTTTCATAAAACAGTTTTAGAAGTCACATAGTATAAATCCTGTTTTAATGACCTCATTACTGCTGATAAATCTTAGAGAAGAAAGCACAGCAGCTGCTCCTTGAAGGTATCTTTGGGTAAGTCATAATTCTACATAATAAAACCATATTATATGCAAATTGACCAAACAGCAGAATGACTGGTTGCTATGACGTGCACTGACCACCAAGGGGCAGATGCTCAACATAGGAGCCGCTCCCTGGTGGTCAATGCACTCCTACGGGGGGCGGGGGGCGGGGGGCGGGGGGGGGGGGGGACGGAAGCGCCACTCAGCCAGAAGCCAGGTTCATGGCTGGAGAGCACAGCAGCGGTGGTGGGAGCCTCTCCCACATCTGTGAACCCCTTGGGGGATGTCCGTCTGCCAGCTTAGGTAGGGAGTGGGCCTACGCCAGCAGGCAGACATCCCCCGAGGGGTCCCAGACTATGAGAGGGCGCAGGTTGGGATGAGTGACTGCCCCCCCCCCCCCAACCCCATGCATGAATGTCGTATGTCGTGCACCAGGCCTCTAGTATTAATATAACTCAGTACAGGCCTGTATACTATATTATTAATTTAGTCAAGAAACAGTCTATTGTCACACTTAACATTTACTATTTCATCCATTTTCATACCAACTCCTGCAGGTACCCATTATTCTTATTTTCAGAATAAATTAAGCAATTTGCCCAAGATCACCTAGCCAGTGGCAGAGACAGAATTTGTGCCCAGATCTTACTCCAAAGCCACAGGGCTTCACTGCACCAGGTTTATGAGTCAGCGTGCCTCCTGAGGAAACGGCGGTCCAAAAAGATTAAATGAGTTGCCCAAGGTCAGAGGCCTCGTGGTTCAGCCAGAACCCAATCCAGGACTCCTGACTTCAAGAAGTCAATCATCTTCCCACTTCACAAAGTGTTGCGTGCGTGCTGTCATTTAAATCCTTCAGTGACCACACACACCTAACTTGAGGATGATTCCTAAAGATATTAGACAAAAGTGAGGCTTTCAGCGGAATAGCACCTTCTCACTAACCAGGGGATTTTATAGAGGGGTGATGCATCCATTTAAGTGGAAGAAGAAGAATTTCCTTAATTAGATTTATGGCACTACGGCTACCCACAGGGGAAAGAGCCACCCAATCATGTCTTACGTCCATCAGCAGGGGAAGGCGAGTCACCCTCTGCATAGGGAGAATGAGGAAAGAGATCATGGGTAAGTTCCTGCAGTCTTCGTGGGACTCGATGCGTGACAGTACTTCCTTAAAAGATGGATTGGTGGCTCTGAGGGAAAATGAAGAAAGAAGAAACTTCAATATACAGCCTCCTCAAGTTAAGAATAATAAAGAAAAGGTAGTATAGAAAACTGTAATAATTTCAGATATTACCAACAATTTTTAAATATACAGAACATGAACACATAATTACATAGGTAGACATAGATGGCTTGTCTGCCTTTTATAGCCAAGATTGAATGTAAGATATGAGTCTAAGGTATGAACAATGAGATGAAAATGTCTGAGCTACAAATTTATAGACGTGGAAAGTAAACAAATGACAAGGCAATGGCATTGGAATGGTGAATGCATCAATTACAAATTAGTTTTAATTTGTAATAAAATTTGAAAACAAAAAACTGGTAAAACACTACCACAACATTTTAATTTCATTTTCTCACAATGAGTTTTTTTTAGTTTTTTTAAAATATATTTTATTGATTTTGTACAGAGAGGAAGGGAGAGAGATAGAGAGTTAGAAACATCGATGATGAGAGAGAGTCATCGATCAGCTGCCTCTTGCACGCCTCCTACTGGGGATGTGCCCGCAACCAAGGTACATGCCCTTGACCGGAATCGAACCCGGGACCCTTCAGTCCCCAAGCCAACGCTCTATCCATTGAGCCAAACCGGTCTCGGCTCACAATGAGGAGTTTTAAGTTTTCCTTCCTACTTGCTTGAAAAATCTTTTAGAAAATTCACGGAAAAAATCAAACTCTAAACCAGTTGCATCTTTAAATCCCCGAGGTCCGTCCCCCACCTCCAAAGCGTATAGTTAAACAGAAAACTGACTATTGTCAGCAGTGTTTCTTCTCTCCCAGTGACAGCAAAACCAGTAAAATACTGCCACGGCATTTAGCAAGATACACTGACATATACCATTTTATGGGAACCACCCATATATCTTTTAAGGAAGGTCAAGAGGGGATTCCAATAAGGATGGAGCCTCAGAAAGGTCCCGACTTGCCAAATAATAGACCTAGTATTTGGTAAAGACAGAAGTCAAGCCAAGGTCTTCTGACCTTCAGTGGGTGCCTTCACCCCTGCATCTCTCACCTCACGTCAGCCCCGGAGGAACAGTGAGGAGCTCCATTGTGTCTGCAAGGAGGGGGCTGGGAAGGGGTGGTCCTGCAATGTAATCCCACATTGGAGGGCAAGGGAAGGGGGAGAGGGGCAAGAAGCATCATAGTGACAATTGTGACCTGTTTAAACATTATATATATATATATATATATATATATATATATCTATCTCACACACACACTGTATATATACTGAGTGGCAGATTATTATGATCTCTGAACACATAATAATCTGGTCACTCAGTGTATATCCTATTTAATAAAAGGCGAATATGCAAATTGTCCCCTTGACCAGGAGTTCAACCAGCAGGTAGGTTAGCCAATCATCTATGTATCCTTCCCCTGGGCTGGCTGGATCCCACCATGCACAAATTCATGCACTGGGCCTCTAATACACACACACACACACACTGAGTGACCAGATTATCATGCGTTCAGCGATCATAATAATCTGACCACTCAGTGTGTATAGAGTAAGGTGACCAGATCATCCCACTTTTGGCGGGACAGTCCCAATTTTCAACAATTTTTTCTGTGTCCTGCGGCATATAAAAAAAAGTCCCGATTTTTGGAAAGATTGGAGAGAATGGAAAGATTCTTTGCAAAAATCGGGACTTTTTTAAAACACTATGGGACACGGGAAAAATTGTTGAAAATCTGGACTGTCCCACCAAAAGCAGGACGATCTGGTCACCTTAATACAGAGGCTCAGTGCACGAAATTCGTGCTTTTGGGAGGTGGGGGTCCGAACCTGGCCTGCACCTCTCACAGTCTGGGAGCCCTCAGATAATATCTGACTGATGGCTTAGGCCTACTCCCTGCGTGGGGAGCAGGCCTAAGCCCTCAGTCGGACATCCTTAGCATTGCCAGAGGTGGGAGAGGCTCCCACCACCACCACCACTGTGCTTGCCAACAATGAGCCTGGCTTTGGCTGAGGGTACTGACCACCAAGGGGCAGCTCCTGTGTTGAGTGTCTGCCTCCTAGGGTCAGTGTGCATCATAGTGACAGGTCATTCTACCATTTGGTAGATTTGCATATTAGCCTTTTATTAAATGGAATATTTTGCCTAGCCAGCTTGGCTCGTTGGATAGAGCATCAGCCTTCAGACTGAAGGGTCTCAGGGTCTCAGGTTCAGTTCCAGTGAAGGGCCCATTCCTGGGTTGCAGGCTCCATCCATAGGGCCCTGATCGGGAGCTCGTGCGGGAGGCAATCGATTGAAATGTCTCTCTCACATCCATGTTTCTCTCTCTCTGTCTCTCCCCCTCCCTTCCACTCTCTCTAAAAATCAATTAAAAAAAAATCTTCACTGAGGATATCCTCGGGCCTTGTGATAAACAAGGCTCCAAAATTTGATTATTTGGTTCAAGTCTGCTAAAAATAAATTAGGAAATACCCAGAATAGAAAATTAAAAGAAATCTTACAGAAATGTTTTAATTTCATTTTCTCACAACAAGGAGTTTTAAATTTTCCTTCCTACTCGCTTGGAAAGTTCAAGGAAAAAAAAATTAAACCCCAAGTCAGTTGCATCTTTATATCACCAGTTACAACTTTAGGTCCCAGTCCCCCACCTCAGTAGTTTGGGATGAACCCTGGGCTTTGTTTTTTGCTTATTCTCAGATTCCCAGGAGCTTCCAAAGAGCAGGTGAAGGTGAATGTCACCATCCTAAATGTAAATTTACACCAACCATACACAGCTTCTGTGAACCCAGCCCCTTGTGTCAAGGTGAAAGCTCAGTTGATAGTTTCATTAAGCTAATTTCAAGAAAACCTCAATTTTTTTTCTTTCTAAAGATATATTTTATTGATTTTTTTTACAGAGAGGAAGGGGGAGGAATAGAGAGTTAGAAACATCGATCAGCTGTCTTCTGCACACCTACTTCTGGGGATGTGCCCAAAACCAAGGTACATGCCCTTGACCAGAATAGCACCTGGGACCTTTCAGTCCACAGGCCAACACTATCCACTGAGCCAAATCAGTTAGGGCAAAACCTCAATTCTTAAAGAGTTACCTATTCCCTTTTTTTAAAATCGTGCAAAATGTTGAAAACAAAATGAAATTCAGCTCCAATTTAAGGCTTTGTTTTCGAACAGGTATGTAACTTGCATTTTCTAACAGTTACAGAGCAACCTTTGTATCAGCAGAGGTTGGGGTACAGGTGGGGGTGATAGGAAAAATGAGGGATATGATTTTGTCCCCAAGAAGCATTCAGCAATGTCTGTTGGCATTTGGCTTGCCACACGGGGGTGAGGAACAGAGGCAGGGGATCCTGCAGAACATGCTACATGGGCAGCACGCAGGACAGTCCCCACAACAAAGAGTTATCCAGCCCCAAATGTCAGGAGTGCCGACAAACCCTGCTTTGTACTGAAAACCTCAACTGGAGCTGGCGGCTGGATTTCCCACCCTATACAAGAGCTACATGAGGACATGGAGAGGGAAGGGGCAGACCAGCCCTTCTCACCAGCCAGGGGCTATTTCTCCACGCAGCCTTGAGGTGATGACTCATCACCAACCCTTGATAGGTCTCACACACCGCGGAGAAGTTGGCCACAGTCCCAAGCCAAGGTCGAAAAATGCCATAGCTCCCAGTGGGGGAATGATCACAGCAACCCCCAAGCTGAGTCTACAGCAATGCACAAATGCAGCTACTTGTGACAAACAGGCCCTCTTCCCCCCCCCCCCCCCCAAATAGGACAATATAGACATTACTGAACAACTACTGACTCTCTCATGGATAGAGATGGAATTTACCACACCAAAACTTACAGCCACCCAAGTAGGACAAAGAGGAAAGGTGTGGAGAGAAGTTTAAAGCTTGTTTGTTTCATAATTCAAGTCTTTAAGAACTCCCTCCCTCCCCGTGGTTTCTTTCAGACCTTTGCTTCTCAGGTTACCCAAAGGGGAAATCAGCAGTTCCTACAAACAACTTAATAGAAACAGAGCTGTCATTTGAATGGAAGAAGATTAGAGTCCTAGAGAAAACTGGATCCTGGCACTAACTATTCAGCCTCCTCAAAAACTCCCTCTTGGCCTCAGGCAAACTACTTAATGGCCAGTTAAAGTCTTAGAGAAGGGGAGGGGAAGGTTGGAATAATCATCACAACAATTAAAAACAAAAACAAGGAAAACAACGACCTATCTATACTAATCAAAGAGAAAGAGGCAAATTGACCTGTGTGACACCCACAAGCCAATCAGGAATATGCAAATTAATCCAACAAAGATGGTGGGTTAATTTGCATATGCAGATGCTGAGTGGCCAGGGGTGGGACTAAGGCATTCTGCACTGACCCAGCTGCTCCGAGCCTCTGGGCAGCGTGGGAAGGTGGAAAGGAAGCTCCGGGCCAAAGCAAAGGTAGGCTGGCAGCCAGGGGAAGGAAGGCCCATTCTTGCACGAATCTTCGTGCATCGGGCCTCTAGCAATTTCATAATTGCTTTAAAGAGAAAATTCTCCCGAGACTAGATTTTTCTACTAGGACACACTCACCCCGAAACCAAAACTCTTAAACATCTGTCCCTGGGATATAGCCCATCTATTAGAAATAACTGTCCCATGAGGGCCTAATCATTTCCCCCAAAAATGCAATGAAGGCAAAATCAATAATTTCTAATGCTGATTTCTGGAACAGTTACAAGGGAAATTTTGTTTTCAATCAGTTCGTTAGCATCAAGCATGTCAGTCACTGCCCCTTACCAGTTAGCTGGCAGGACTCCATCACACAAAATTGATTTGAGAGATTAATTCATTTCAATCAATGAGAGTTATTAAAACAAGGCCGGATAATTAAAACTATACTTTTAACATAGCTTACAACAATTTCTGCAGTGTTCGCTGTTGGTAGACTTCGTTTGTACAGTATTTCACATATGGGTCAAATGTGGATGCCGTGTGCTTTTCCACAATGTCACTTATGTCATCTATGAAGATATTATTCTGATGTCTTGCTTCCAACTCTGTAAAGAATCTGAAAGAAAAACAAAAAACACAAAGAAAAGCATTTACACTTTCTTCCATATGCTTTAATAACAGATTATCTCATGTGATGCTTTTTTGCAGCGTTTGCAAATATCAACAGTACCAGTACCAACTCAAAAAGACAGAAGCCAAAAACTATAAAAATCCTCTACATTTAAAACTGTCATATTCATATCTTATAATTTCAAGTAGTCAGTTTTACAACACTGATAATCCAGTTCATTTCTACACTTTCAGGTATATTTTAGAATATACAGATTTCACTATTTTTCAAGGATGCCCTATAGATTGGAGGAAGAAGAACAGAATGATGCTTGCATATTTTATTATGCTGAAAAGCATATGAGCACAACATCTGACTAAGTACTTTAAAACCAAGCATGAAATAAACTTAATTCTATGTGTCCTTTCTCTCTAAATAAAAGGAATCATAATATTTTAAATCTAATGTTATGTATGACATTCAGTGTCTTCATAAATTAGTTAGGTTGCAATTTCAGGTTGCCAGACTTAAGAGTGAGTATGTATTTGTATATGCATATGTTGTATCCAGTTCAGTTAAAATTAAATTTCTGATAAATAATGAGTAATTTTTCAAAAAACTATGTGTCAAATATTGCATGGGTATCTTGTGTTTTATCTGGCAACCAGATGTTGCATCCAATGTTAACAGAACATCAAAATCAGGTATTTGACATAGCTTTCTACCCAGGGCTGCTGCTCAAAATGTGGTCCATGGACCAGCCACATTGGTGTCATCTAAGAGCACATCAGAAATGCACAATTTCATCACCCACTTCCACTAATCTGGACCTGCATTTTAGCAAGATCTCCAGATGACTCGAGTGAATCCTAAAATTACAGAACTTCCCTGGAGCCCACTTACTGTCCAAATTTAAAATGGTAGGAAAATCCATTAGAAATAACTATCCCATAAGGACCTAATCATTTCCCCAAAGAATGTCGTGAAGGCAACATTAACAGTAATTTCTAATGATTTCTTCTGGAACAGTGAAACAAGGGACATTTCGTTTTCAATAAATTCTTTAGCACTTAGCATATCATTCACTGCTCCTTACCAGTCAGCTGGCTGGACTCCATCACATAAAATTCAAGACTGACAGTGAATGAGACAACAGAAATGTATACAAGATAATAGTAAATAGGATCTAACATTTCCTCACATTTCTATCTTTGCTATTTTCATACAAAATCCTGGCATTCAGGAATAAAACAAAAAGACATTAAGAAGCTTTGTTTTTATATATTTACATGTACATAAAACTCATTTTAGTATGAACTGTATTATCAGCTTGTCATCATTTTCTATTTTTTAAAGTTTCTGTAAGAGCTTAAAGACAAATCCATTTGAACTTCCTAGAACAGCCAAATCATTATATACTTTGAGGAAGCCCCTACATTTGTATTTCCTTTAAAAATGACTTAGAAAAAATGATCAATCTAAATCCCAGCCACAGATTATAATTAGCCTCCTCATCCAAATCCCTGGTTTAAAATAGCAAAAGGGAAAACTTTGCTGGACTATTCACCTTTCCTTTCAGTGGTACTGGGGTTAATATTCACAATCCTGAACAGCCCAGACAACATACCTGAAGACTCCAAAACCCAGTCAACAGCTTCATATTACTTTGTCAGGACTGAGTCTTTTAATATTCAAATAAAATAACCCCCGACTGGAGAGTTTCAGCAATTTCAAAAACAAACACTCCAAACTCCAAAACAAAGCTATGTTTCTTAAATGATATTTTCTATACAGACAGATCTCTGACTTAAAGGAAGTTAAGATATATTCGAAGATAAGAATGATAGACAAAGATGACAGAGAAAGATAACATTCTTGCGTATAACATATTAGAGGCCTGGTGCACAAAATTCTTGCTCTCAGGGAAGGGGTGTCCCTCAGCTTGGCCTGCGCCCTCTTGCAGTCTGGGAGCCCTTGGGGGATGTCCGACCCGTGCTGCTATGTTCACCAGCCGAGGGCTGGGCTTCTGGCTGAGCACGCTCCCCCTGTGGGAGCACACTGACCACCAGGGGGCAGCTCCTGCCTTGAGGGTCTGACTCCTGGTGGTCAGTATGTGTCAAAGTGACCGATCATTTGCCATTCGGTCAGATTTGCATATTAGGGTTTTATTATATAGGATGTGCATAAGGGTGTTGGTGGTAGGTTTTTAATTACATGAAATATATGTATATATATATATATATATATATTTTATTGAGGTAAAAAATACATAACATGAAATTGGCCATTTTAACCATTTTTTAGTATACAATTCAATGGTGTTAATTACATTCACAATGTTGTGCAACCACATTGATCTATTTCTAAATTATTTTCATCACCCTAAACAGAAAGGCTACACTTATTAAGCAATAACTCCCATTTCCCTCTCTCCCCAGTCTCTGACAACCTCTAACCTACCTTCTGTTTCCATGAATGTGACTATTCTAGATACCGTGTTTCCCCGAAAATAAGACATCCTCCAAAAATAAGAGCTAGCGCATGGAAAAATAAGACATCCCCTGAAAATAAGACCTAGTGCAACTTTGGGAGAAAAAATTAATATAAGACACTTTTATTTTCGGGGAAACAGGGTAGTTCATATACATGAAATCATAATATTTGTGCTTTTTGTCTGGCTTATTTCATTTAGTGTAATGTTTTCTTTTTAAAAAAAAATATATATATATATATTTTTCATTGATTTCTGAGAGGGAGAGGGAGAGAGAGAGATAGAAAAGTCAATAATGAAGGAGAATCATCTATCGGCTGCCCCCTGCATGCCCTACAGTGGGGTTCAAGCCCACAACCTAGGCATGTGCCCTGACAGGGAATTGAATCGTGACCTCCTGGTTCATAGGTCAACACTCAACCACTGAGACACAGTGGCTGGGCTAGTGTAATGTTTTCTAAGTTCAACATATTTATGAGGCATGTATCATGCTCTTCCTTATGGTTCAATAATACTCCTTTAGATGCATATACTATTATTGTTTATCCATTCATTGATTGACGGACACTTGGGTAGTTTCCACTTTTTGGCCATTGTGAATAATACTGCTATGAACATTCGCATACAAGCATGCATTTGGATCCCTGTTTTCAAATCTTTGGGTTCAGTATCTACCTAGAGGTGAAATTTCAACCTCACCGTCTCTGTGCCAATATCACCGCATATCAAGAAAAGATAGTATGATAACCAAGAAGTAATAGAGGAGCTGCTGAGTTATTGTCAAGGGGAAATTATTTCATTAAATGAAAGGTGAGTAAGAAATAAGCCTTCCCTCCTGAGTGGCCCACGGGAGGCATGGAGCAGTTAATTACAACACAAGGTCTGTAACAGAGGCTCACAATGCGAAGTGCTGAAGGCAGAATGACTGACAGTCAACAATGGGCGGGTCCTCAGTGATAAGGATGTCATTACAGGGAGCGCCGGGGACACAGCACCATGGGCCGGAGAAACTACGTGGGCCCAGACATGAATCTCATGCAAGAAAACGTGGGTCGGTGAGTGAGGCTAAGGTGTGGAATACAGAGGGGCAGGGGCAGAGAATGAAGGCTGAAAGCAGGTCAGAGAGCTGGATGGCAAAGGTCTCACTGTAGGCTGAGGGAGTTTGGACTTGCTCTGTGGACAACGAGAATCTGTTAGAGGTATCAATACCCAACCAGACAGGGAAACGTGGGACAGTTGAAGAATGGATTACAAGTGGGGAGAGACAGACCACAAGCAGGCCAGCAAGGTGGCAAATTTGGGCAAGTGACAATAGCCTGGCAGTGGGAAATGAAAGAGGGGACACAGATCAGGGTATCGATTTGGAAGGGGAAGTTAATAGAATGGAGAAACTCATTAGATGGGGAAGGCAGGGAAGGTGCTGGGATTTCTATTTAAGGTTTCTACCTGGGCATCAAGGTGAGTCATTAACAGGGAATTAGGAGAACAGGGGAGAAGCAAGAAGGAAGCACAGTTTAATTTTGTCTTGATGATGTGAAATGGACAGCAGAAAACACACATCTGGGAGAATTCTGAGCCCCAGCAATTCTAGATAGGATGTAGTGAAGTCTAGTTCACTTTTAGATGGTTTTCATATACATGCAAATTTTTTGTACTTTAATTCCATGCAGCTTTCAAGAAAATGTTCAAAGAAAATGGGAAAAAACAAGAAACCACGCACAAGGTCATTATCATGTAAATCTAAGAAATAAATATCTTAGAGGCAAATATCCTTTAGTTTCTTGTCTTTAGCTAACTGTTACAATCTGGAAGAATGCAGCTATAGAACCAAACAAAACAGTAACTTGGCTTTTCCCAATGAAAGGAAAATTTCACTTATCACAGTTAAAAGGTTTGCCAAAGTACAAGATTAAAAACAAAGCACTGATGATATATTTGTTTATGCTACTTACTTTGATTAAATACAAACTAAGCCACTTGTCCTTTATTTTGACATTTGCACGATTAATATGCAATTTAAAGCTTTCTGTGGTAAATTATCTGTTGGTTATTTTGGCAAATTTGCATATTTTACTGAGTGGAGCTACAAAAAGACCAAGGAAGTATTACTGAAGAATGAGGTATTATCCGCATAACCAAGAATGCTGCTGGTTCATATAAAAATCTGATGCCAAAGTTAAAGCAATTTGTGAAGTTATTTGGCTTATTTGAAGGACAACTTTTTAATGGAAACGTGTTTCAGCGCTATACATTTTTTTTTCTGGGACAATACATTCCTTATTTCCCCTTTGTAGCATTACTAAGATGACCATGTTTACAACCAATCATGTAGACAACATCGTTCTCTTTTTTATTTTTTTTTATTTTATTGATTTTTTACAGAGAGGAATAGAAAGTTAGAAACATCGATGAGAGAGATACATCGACCAGCTGCCTCCTGCACACCCCCTATTGGGGATGTGCCCGCAACCAAGGTACATGCCCTTGACCAGAATCGAACCTGGGACCTTTCAGTCCGCAGGTTGATGCTCTATCCACCAAGCCAAATAGGTATTGGCACTTTTTTTTTTTAAGCCAAAATCATAATCTTTTCGCTGAAGTCTAGATTTCCAGAAACCTCTGATAACCAGAAAGGCTTCCTGAAAACACTGCCTCCTAACCAGGCACCCAAGGTAGCCCAGTTTGACTGCTGACTCACCACCACCAGCACAATCACACCCAGACTTCACATGAGCGCTTCCACTGACTGCAGCCTGCTCAGGTGAGCACCCAGAATGCCAGGGAGGTCTGCCAGAAGGCGGGGCTTCAAGATGATAACTACATGTCCATGTTTGGCTCATAGTCTACAACCTCCCCTCTAATAGTTCCTAGATCTGCAAGGACTCTATTTTCTTCTTTTTGTGGTTGCTTTATCAAGGGATGGCCTTAAATGTGGCACTGAATTTTTTTTTGGGGGGGGGGAGGAATAAAATCAATAAACCGTGAGGTGGCTGCTTCCAATACACTCAGAGCAGGTTGCTTCATTAACATCATTTTCTCTCTGATGGAATAGGCAGAAAAGACCTACAAATGTGAAGTATAAATGCCCCCGTACCATTACTAACAGCCTTCTTAAAATTCAACTGGTAATGTAATAGCCTTCTTAAAATTCAACTGGTAATGTAACTGACACCTCAGATATGAACGTTCCTGATAGCTCTCTTGATGCCTGTATGGTAAACCCACCAATCTACAGAGGAGATGAAGACTTATTTAAGCCAAAACCGGTTTGGTTCAGTTGATAGAGCTTCAGCCTGCAGACTGAAGGGTCCCGAGTTGAATTCTGGGAAAGGGCACATACATTGGTTGTGGGCAAATTCCCAGTGGGAGATGTGCAAGAGGCAGCTGATCGATATTTCTCTCTCATCGATGTTTCCATCTTTTTTTCCCTCTCCCTTCCTGTAAAAAAAAAAATCAATAAAATATATTTTTTAAAAAGACTTATTTAATACAAACAACAAATCTGTTTTAGTTAGTCAACCAACAAAAGTTCCTTCCATATGCCAAGCACAGGATACAGGTTTAAGTGAATGTTAAGGAGCAAATCATCAATAATTATAACCATCATTCATGTACCAAGCACTGGTCTACATGCTTCCCATGCATTATCTCATTTAACATATTCCTCAAGCCTACTTGAAGAGATGGCCTTTATACCCATTTCACAGATAAGAAAATCAATGCTATAGGGACTTAACGTCAAAACGTGCAACACCTGAGCCTCAGTTTGAACCCAGAGCCTGAGCCTGTGAACACCTCTGGCCTCTGCTCACAGGTGCCTGCTGCTCTTGCCTGTCTGTTACAACTGGCCAGCCCTCGAACTGGACATCCAGCAAAGAAGATTAACTGCTGAAAGGAAAAAGAAATACTATTCGTTTCCAAGAAGACCAGCTGTTGCATCATCTCAGCGAGTAAATTATGGATGTCAACAGGAAGGACCTGCACAGTGGATTCATGCTACGGCAAGACCAGCAGACAGCGGAGGAGCCAACAGGTGAGCCCCTGGGAAAACAATCAGGATGGTCATGGCTGGTGATGCATTCTGGTCCTGGTCAACACCGTGGGAGCAGTTATGGGACTGCAGGGTCCCTGGGAAACTCTGAGAGCCATTCATATGGGCCCTACCTGTTCCCTGATGCCCTCCTCTTTGTCCCATTCATCCTTCAAATCTTAGATTCTATTTCGTCTCCTCCAAGAAGCTCCTGTGGCCTTATTTTATGTCTTTATAAACCCCTATACTAATATCTTTGTATCTTTACTGGATGATAATTCATTATACTACGAATGTGTTTGCATGTGTCTCTCTCAGCAAGGTCTAGAGGGCAGGGGTCATGCCTGTTTTGAACAACACTATTTGCCCAGGTCCTGCCCACACAGTCCCTGGAACATGGGAGACCGTCAAATATTTGACTGAATGAACCCAGTTTGTGTTTTAAACACAAAAGTATAAAGATGAAACCTGTTCAAGGAATTTTGTTCTATGGCTATTTTACAAAAAATGTAACACCCACAAATTGTTCAGTCTCTATCTTGCCCTGCTCTAATCAAGTCAGCGGATTTTTTTTTTCTTTTTCTTTTTTTTTTTTGCCACAAACTGGGTTCCCAGTGAAGATAAAAATTCCCAGCACAAACTTTTACAATCCTGTCAAGTAAGGTCACTAGAATGAGGCCCAATCCAGCCAAGATAAAGCATGGGTAGACCAGCCCATCCCCCACTAGATCTAGGGAAAATTCCAGGATGACTAAGGTGTGTGTGTCGTGTGTCTCCCCCCAACTCCCCCCCCACCCCCCCTGCAGCCCCATCCCCTCCTCACTTAGCTCTGTAGTTAGGGAGGCACAGAAAACAGAAAGCAGGGCTCTGGTTATAATCAGCACTGCCCTGCACCCTTCTCAGAATGGCATCCTTTCAAGGTACTTTTTCCTCATCAATATCCATCTGCCTAAAGAAGGTCCTGGACTTCTTCCTCCCCTAAATGAGCTGTCAATCTCCGAGGTTACCGTCTCCACCAGAGAGGGCCAGGCTCACTTGTGCTGGAGCCGTGAAACATACCGGGCAGGTTTCACATGCCTAAGTTGCTGTGGTATAATAAAATAGCTCCACTAAACTAAGAAATCCTCCAGAGAAGTGGCAGCGAACTATGTGCTGCTGGAAACACTTCCCCAACAGAACAGCAACAGAACGTTCTGTCCTCGACCAAAATGAATTTATATTCTGTTGTACATGAGGCTTGGGGTTCATTTGTATGTTTTTTTTTTTTTTTTTTTTTTGATGGTCAGGTTGACACTCAAGATCAATACCAATTTTTTAAAAATTTAATTTCTTTGAGACCACTGGATCAGGAGTAGCAAACGCATGGCTAGAGTACCATCTCTAACCTGCGGCAGGCATTGCCAACCACGTTTGGCACCCTGCCCAGCTGCAGAATTTGTACTCCACACAGCTGGATTGATCAACCAACAATGAGGATGAGCCCTGACTGGTCTGGCTCGCTGGATAGGGCATTGGCTTGCGGACTGAAGAGTCCCTGGTTCGATTCTGGTCAAGGGCATGTACCTTGGTTACGGGCACATAAAAAGTTTCTAACTTTCTATCCCTCTCCCTTCCTCTCTGTAAAACACACACACACACACACACACATTGAGGATGAGTAAGATGAAGCTCATCTATGGTATTTTCCCCAGACTAACAATGATAGGAAATGTTCACTCGACAAAAATATAGAACTGCTCTTTCTGAATCAGTATACGTACCCTACAACCCAACCGGGAAAATATCTCACCAGCTTTCTCTCTTAACAGACTATGTCTTCTCACAACCCAGTTCTACTTTCTCTTCTGAAATTGTATCTCTGGATTGATAACAAGGGGGTAAGGGTTGAAATGAAAAGTGTTTGGGAATGTGGAAAAAACAAACAAAACCCACACCTTATTCTGAACAAAAATGTCCTGGTAGCCCCCCTTCCCATTCTGATAGCTACTGTTTGATCTTTCAAATCTCTAGGATGGTTTTTGTTCAAAGATTCTTATCATGCTGTTAAGATCAGCCTGGACACATGAAAGAAGAGATCGAGGTGAAAGAGATAAAGTAAGGGTCTTCTTACCCTTACTACCACAAAACACAGAGCTTCCTTAGGTTTAAATCCAGCTCCCTCCCCAGAGACACCTTCAGTTCTAAGCTCCCAGCAAATCCCAAAGGAGGAAGGCGGAGCAGCAGTCCAGGGAAGGGAGCGGCAGAAAGACTACAGAACTAAGTGCCCCAAGACGAGCTGTATCAGTTAAGGTTCTGGTGCCCTTAGTCCTTCCTTCTCAGTGATAATGCACAAGCCTGAAGAAATATAAACAAGACCCTACAAAGAGAGGAAAACAATGTTTTTCAAGTCCTTGAGATTTTAATACCTTAAGACTGAGTTTTTCCTCCAAATGAGAATTTAAATTACCATCTGAGTCTGCCACACAAAATAAACTGGAGGGAGAGGGTCTTGTTCCCATGGTAACTTTTTGCACACTTGGTTCTTTTTGCTTTAATGCTGCTCACATGCATTCATCCATATTTGAATTTCTCCCAGAAATGAGGACAACATCAATGAATGCCAGGAAACACTCTTTACCAAAATGGCCTTAGGACAGATAAAAGTCTGCCTGTGCCTGGGATGCTCGGGTTTATTATGGACAGTTTTACGGGTTTTAATTATTTTTTACTTGAGCACAACTATTAATTTACAGCAAAGAGAAAATCCCCTCTGCCTTTCCTTTTACATATGACCATGAAGAATGAAACCAAGTGTGCCTGGTTCACCCCTGGCTCTCCAGGACTGAGCAAAGAACAAACCCTCAATAACTGTGTTGAATGAGTCAATACTAGATACCTATCCCTCCTCCTTGCCCCTCACCCAAGGAAAAAAACAGTGAGCGATGGTATGAAGCAAGTGTCTATTCGGCCTGATTAATAACTACAGTAAATTATCAGGGTCCTCACGAGGGGGCTAGGCTGGGGTGAGGTGGCACTGAACGGCTCTGCTGTTGCCAAATATGGAATCTGAGTGCTTATATGCCCTTATATGAATTCCTAAATACAAGGTGTGGAATCTCAAGAGTAGATTTGCTGCCAAAACCGGTTTGGTTCAGTGGATAGAGCTTCAGCCTGTGGACTGAAGGGTCCCAGGTTTGATTCCGGTCAAGGGCATGTTCCTTGGTTGTGGGCACATCCCCAGTAGGGGTGTGCAGGAGGCAGCTGATCGATGCTTCTAACTCACTCTCCCTTCCGCTCTGTAAAAAAAACAATTATACACACACACACACACACACACACACACACACACACACACACACATATATATATATATATATATATATATATATATATATTTTTTTTTTTTTTTTTTTTTTTTTAAAGAGTATATTTGCTAATGCGTTGCCTGGTAAAACTAACCAAGGTTTATGACTTCTGAAGAACTATGAGATGATAATTACATGACCAACCCAGTGACCCTGTGACCTTGGCCCCATGAAAGGGTATTGCTGTGTGTGACCCTCATTCATAGTAACTTCACCAGAAGCGGCTGGGCAGGTTGTCTCCCTTCATCCCGCCTTGTTTTCCGTTTCCCACATCAACAGCCTCATTGTGTGCATGTCTTTTATTGCAAGCTGCCCCGAGCCTTTCGTGGATGCAGCTGAAGTCTAATTTATAAATTATAAACACACCAGGAAAACGTGGATTCTTGGTTGCTGCTTGGAAACAGCATGAAGAATGAATTTATAGACTCCTGGAACAAAGTCAAGTAAAACAACAAAGTCTCCTCGTCCTGAAGGCCCGTTTCCTATTGTGGGTGGGTCATTCTGGAAGAAAGTCAGCACAGGGAAGACACGTTTCTCTTCAGGCACTATTTCCAGATACTTATTGGGTAGTGCCGTGATATCTCAAGTCAGAATTCAATCCACAAGGAAGGATAAGATTTAAAGTAAGCCCCAAGTCTTTGTATCTCAGTCTTTCTTTATTTAATATGCCCAAAGAAAGGTATCATCCTAAAAGAAAAGAATGGTTTCTATGGCTCCCACCCATTTTATGAAAGGGGGAGGGGGTGCAAATTCTGAATTTTGAAAACTCCAAGAAGTCAGTTTCCATAATATTCTTTTTAAAAAGATGATGTTTTCACAAGGGAACTAGAATTCCATGTCCTCTCTGACGTTTTTTCAAACCTGCTTCAGTCTCCCCAGCATCTGGCTCTGGTCTGCCCTTTTCACACAACCCTCTGCTTCAACTTGCATCAGGGATTTTTAAAATACTGCCTCTTCAGATGACTATTAACACCGCTTAGCCAAGTACAGAAGACGAAGACCAATGGGGTACACAAGTTCTTACCCTGGTTTTAAGTGCATGTGGTGCAATGATAAATTTCCGTTGCTTCCTTTATTGACCATAATAAAGAACGAAATCTCACTATTTGTGACAGCATGGATGGACCTAGAGGGTATTATGCTCAATGAAATAAATCAGACAGAGAAAGACAAATACCATATGATTTCACTTAAATGTGGAATCTAAAGAGCAAAGTAAACAAATAAACAAAACAGAAACAGACTCATAGACAGAGAACAGACTGGATGGTGCCAGAAAGGAAGGGTTTTTTTTGGGGGGGAAGGGGACTGGATAAAAGAGGTTAATCATTAAGATGTACAAATTGGTACTTACAAAACAGACATGGGGATGTCAAGTCCAGCATAAGGACTACAGTCAATAATACTGGAATAACTATGTATAATGCCAGGTGGGTACTGGAAATATTGAGAGGAACACTTTGTAAACTATATGATTGTCTAACCTAGGGGTGTCGAACTCAATCAGAGAAGGGGCCAAAATCTAAAATCCAGCCTAAATCGCGGGCTGAATGGTTTACTGAACAGTCATAAACTGTCATTGTGATGGAAATGCAGCGGAGTGCAGTGATGACAGCGCAGTGCGGACCACATTGCAAGGCCTGGCGGGACGGATTTGGCCCGAGGGCCTTGTGTTTGACGCATGTGATCTAACCACTACACCATACACCTGAAACCAATACAAAATAATATTGAAAGTACACTGTAATTGAAAATGTTTAACAAACAAAACGAACAACTGAGTGGAGAAGACTTGGCCAACCTCTCAGTAATTAGCTCAAGACAGACGATAGACAACATAGTGAGAGGGAAGCCACCAGCAAGAAGAGAAAAGATCCCAGACAATGGGTAGGGGAGCATGAAGATGAAGGGAGGAAAAAAAAGAGAGAAGGGGTGATTACTGAGGCTCCATCACCTCAATACCGAAGAGCAGGCTTCCCACGCTGTCTTTCCCAACTTAATGCTTTCCTTCGACTTCACTGATACGTGATCTCTTATCTCATGGTTAGATTAATAACAACCATAAATGAATACATTTCCAGATAAAGTCCATTTCACATTGCACCTCCCGCAGCCAGGCTAATTGTGTACCATTACATCACACCTCTGGAAAAATGTATGCAGGATATTGGCCATGGGTGTAAACTCGGGAGCCAGATGGCCTGGTTTCAAATCCCAGCCCCCCTCTCTTTTATGAGCCGTGTAACCTTAGGCAGCTTGCTTAATGTCTCTCCATGCCCTTAGTTCCTCATTTGTAAAATGGGAATAGTAATAATGGTGTGACCTCATGTGGCTCTCACGATGACTGACTGAATTAAAACATCTTAAGTGCTTAGCGCACAGTCTGACACATGGTACAGGCTCATTAACATTAATTATCATTTGAAGTGCAATAAAAATGCCTGTCTCTCCTACACGAATTCACACCACTTACATGTCTTTTAAGGAATGCCAGGAGGCTTTCTTGCTTTCCCAGTCCACTCTGTTCAAGGGCAGCAAGTCAAGCTCCTCTACTCCCATCCATGAATTCTGTCATACATCAAATCCTCTTAAAATCACAGGCATACACTTTCTCTTCAACTTAAAAAAAAAAAATGTTTAATAGGTACTGACCAATGACAAAATTAGAGGAAGATTAAGTTCGGTCCTTTTTAGGTCCCATGTGTTGGTACGTCCTGAGTGAGTTACAGATGGGAAAGGAATGAACCAGTGCAAATGGACGATTTTCTGCCAAGAAGTGGTGGAATATTTCTTCACATGTAAACCCTGCTCTTGGCCTTGGCCTTCTAACCATGGGGAAGGAAAAGTCATGTCACAATGAAGAGGCGTTAGGCCAGGCAAGGCACAGGCACACTTGGCCAAAACACAAAGGGCACCATGTTTATTTTTAGAGCCCCCTGTGGGAGGCTAACTAATGGCCCCCCGAGGAGGTCCACAGCTTGCGACTTTGTTGTCTTACAGGATAAAAGTGACTGTGCCGATGAGGTTAGGGATCTTGAGTTGGAAAAGTCCTCCTAGATGATCCAGGTGGGCCCAATGGGATCACAGGGTCCTCCTTAGTGGAATCAGAGAGAAGATGCAAGGATGGAAGCAGGAAGCAGAGAGCAAAGAAGATGGCATGCAGCTGGCTTTCATGGTGGAAGAAAGGGTCACAGAGAAGGAATGCAGATGACCTATGACCTAGAAAGAGTCAGCTCTGCCAATACTCGATGCCAGTCAATCTGAAATTGCCTTCAGATTTCTGACCTTCAGGATTCTAAGACGTAATTGTTGTTTTAATCTGCTAAATGTATAGTAGTTTGTTATAGCAGCAATAGGAAACTATACATCCCCTGATCCATTTTACATTTCTCTCTCTCTCTCTCTCTCTCTCTCTCTCTCTCTCTCTCTCTCTCTCTCTCTCTCTCTCTCTCCCCCCCCCCCAACCTACTGCTCACTCACCAATAACCAATATCTTGTATCTACACACCAGCCCCTGGGTTACTCATGGGCCGGACTGTAGAGGTACATCAATTCCAGAAGGCTGGAGATTCCGGACCCAGCTCCCCTTCTGTACTCATTCATTCAGTGACATTTTAGGCACCCAGAACATAAAACCCAGAGCAAACCCAACAAAAGTCCCTGCCTTCATGGCACTGACCTCCTGGGAGGGGAGCCCTCCCTGTTCTACTCCCCCGGGACCCAAATGGAAGACCACACAAAACCTCTCAGCACCACCAGTGAAATGAAACAAAAAAGTTTTGCTTCTGAGTCCGCTAAAAGACATTTTAAAGGGCAAGACACTTTCCTATTAGGTGACTGCCAAGGAGGACAAAGGGAATGGGGGAGGAGGTGTGATGTAAGCCAAGATGGGAACTCACAGGTGTGTCCGAGGAATGTGTGATGGGACTTTGGGTCTGTGAGGGTAGATGTTCAAAGGCATTCATGACTCAAAAAAAGTTTAAGAACCACTGGCTTTGTGTAAGGAAAATACCTACCACAGAAAGATACAGAAAAACTGGGCAATGACTGTAAGAAGAAATTATAAACAAGCCTCTGCCTAGACCGAGAAGAACTCCAAGTGCCACGTGAAGCTATTTTCTTTCCGTACTTAAGTAACAGAGAGCCACTGAGGTTTCTCGTATGTTAGGGAAGTAACTCTATAGGTCGGGTAGAGGATAGGATATAGGACTGACAGCTGAATTGAGGGACAGAGAAGAAGGCCAGGAGGCCAGCCATACACCTACACATATAATCCACGGAAGAGAAAAGCAGGTTGGCCCTGACCAGTTTGGCTCAGTGGATTGAGCATAGGCCTATGGACACAAGGGTCCCAGGTTCGATTCTGGTCAAGGGTATGCACCTTGGTTGCGGGCACACCCCCAGTAGGGGGCGTGCAGGAGGCAGCTGATGGATGTTTCTCTCTCATCGATGTTTCTAACTTTCTATCCTTCTCCCTTCCTCTCCATAAAAAATCAATAAAAAAATATATTTTAAAAAGAGAGAGAGAGAGAGAAAAGCAGCCTGGAGGTTCCTCAAAGTGTGAAACCCATGACCTGCTCCTAGGATATACCCAAGGAAGATGAAATCATATGCTCGCACAAGAACCTGTACACAAATGTTCACAGCAGCATAACTTATAATAGCAAAAAGAAAAACCTGCTCAATGTCCATCAACTAATGAATAGATAAGTACAATGTGGCACAGTCACACAATGAAATATTACCCAGCAAGGAAAAGAAATCAAGTATTGACACGTGTTACAACAGCAATGAACCTTGAAAACATCATGCTCTGTGAAAGAAGCTAGTCATAAAAGACCACGTATTATACGATTCCATTAACATGAAATGTCCAGAATAGTCAACTCCATAGAAACAGGAAGTAGAATGGTGGTTGCCCAGAACTGGGGAGTTTGGGGTGTGGGTGTGGGGAGTGAGCATTAATGCATAGAGTGTTTCCTTTTGAGAGTGAAAATGTTGTAGAGTTGACTGTGGTGATATTTGCTCCATCTGTAAATATATTAAAAATGCACTAAACGATACACCTTAAATGGGTTATTTACATGGTATATCAAATATTATCTCCAGAAAGGGCTTCAATAAAAAGGACAGCCTCTGGGAAATGACCGGAAGGGGTAAAAGCTGAGATCCACTAATTCTGTTCATGTGTCCAGCTCTCTCTTTTCCTGCTTTCCCAGAAAATGGATTATATATGCATTTCACCTCTTTTCAAGTGACCCTTAGGACAAGGCCCAAGATTTACACTATAAGGAACATCGGTTCTGGCTGAAGCAAGGGCAGGGGGTCCAGAGTCCAGTTGTTTGGCTTCCCTTACACCCAAACTGGCTGCCCCTCACGTGCCTTCCGGGAATTCCGGGCCTCCTGGAACGCAATCTGAAACCACACTGCAGATCTGGAGGGCTGAGCGATGTGGGAATGTTAAGCATCTTTGTAGGGTCAGGGAGAGGGAATCCAGCCAAGATCTCCCTAGTCACACCACAGGCCTGGAGACACTATGTCCCCAGCAGAGGCCTTTGACCCAAGCAACAACTGGCCGCCTTCAGCTTCTTCACCACACAGGATTCTCTAGTAAGAGGAGTGAATTTTATTTCTAGAAAGCTAAGCAAGGTCTGTTTTTTACGCCCTCCCGAAAGGCTGTCAGAGAGGCCTAAGGATGGCCATTTAGCCCAGAAGGGTCAACATGTTCCAAAAATCTCAGCTAGCATCCGACCACAACTAAGACGATGGCAGCTTTTAACTTTAGCAAGTGAATATAGAATGACAAAATATGTCATGTTCTCCTTTGGAGACATCCCTATAGCATATGTACTTCTTAAATCTACATTTCCTGCTGCCAGTCAGTAATTTGTAAACCATGTCACTCACATTTCACCAAGGTTCCTGTTCTGTTTTATATACACGCACCTCTTCCTTCTTTTTCTCCACCCAAACCCTGGCCCCAATACATACATCTTCTCTTCTGTAACGGAATTCTTCTCTTTGTGGTATCCCCCGGCCCCTGTTCCTGCTTTAATCCACTTTATTTTTTTTTTTAATTTTTTTTTTCAAGACGAAGAGAGAGGGAGAAACATCAACGATGAGAAAGAATCATTGATCGGCTGCCTCCTGCACACTCTACACTGGGGATCAAGCCTGCAACTTGGCTATATGCCCTGACTGGGAATAGAACCCTGATCGCCTGGTTCATAGTTCGATGCTCAACCACCGAGCCAGGCCAGCTGGGCCCAGACCACTTTTAAAGAATCTACCAAAACCTCATTAAGAATGCTGGTCCTACCATCCCCTTCCTCGCATCCATCCATGGGACCCAGATGTCCAAACCAAACTCCTGTTGGCTTCTAACCACACAACTTCCCTGAAGAAAAGTCCACAGATGCACCCCACACTGACTCTTGGTTCCTTCCCAGCCTGCTCTCTGGGCCGCGTTATAAAGCCAACTACAAGTCTGCACCCACATACTGCAAAAGGACCGCATCGGTACCGAATCCTCTTATTGCTTGCTTAGAATATTGACACTAGATCACCACAACTGTCATTCCCTGACATAGTGGCTGGATTATAGAGATGCGACCACTTGTAAGTGGGGACTTCATCCTTCTCTAACTTTCTTTTTCCTTTTTCTTTTCTTCTTTCTCCTTCTCCTTCTCCTTTTCCTTTTTTTTTTTTTTGACATCTTAATAGTTGTGGTTGCTGAAACCGGTTTGGCTCAGTAGATAGAGCGTCGGCCTGTGGACTAAAAGGTTCGATTCCGGCCAAGGGCATGTACCTTGGTTGCGGGCACATCCCCAGTAGGGGGTGTGCAAGAGGCAGCTGATCGATGATTCTCTCTCTCATCGATGTTTCTAACTCTCTATCCCTCTCTCTTCCTCTCTGTAAAAAATCAATAAAATATATATATTTTAAATGTTTTAAAAAATAGTTGTGCTAGAAACTCCTGCAAAAAGCTAATTTGGACTTTGGCCTCTATGTATTGCATGTGGTCATTTCTCCAAAAAAAAGAGTAGCTCTCAATCACAGTCCCCACCCTCACTTCAGCCAGACGCAGAGCTGACTCCCAGCTAGCGGCAGAAATTAGAGAAAGACTAAAGAAACGGCCTGCGTATCGTTTACTCGAGGGAGCGTTGCACGGTGGATCCCTTCATGAGGGCACGGCCTCCAGTTTAGGAAGAATGCAGGAGGCTGCACCTGCGGGGGAGGGGGGCCGCTAGCGCAAGGGCTGCAGGATCCAGGTCCTGCCGCACACGTGACCGCTCAGGTTGTCAGCAGCTACTCGAGTTTCTGTGCTGCATCAGAAACCGAAAATGCCTTGGCACCAGTGCGAACAAGGCCGGTGTGAAGTTCAACTCCAGAATCAGTGACTGGTTATTAGACCTGATGGCTTAACTAGACCGTGCACAGGGCTCCACGGTTTCCAAGAGCTTTCCTGCGTCTTTCCATTAAACCGCAGGCGCGTGTCCAAGGGCTTTTCTTAGAACTCAGTACAGCCATGCAAAATAAATACCCACCGGCCGCTTTCTGAAACAAAGCTAAGGAAAACATACAATATACATTCTTCCTTTCGCTTCTTTTCTCTTTCTGGCTAACGGGAAAGCCATAATTCAGTTATAAGAACTGTTCCATGAGACGTGGTCTCTGAAACAAAAAGTCATATCTGTAGGTTACATGATTGGCAGTCATCAGCGATATACCAGCTTTATAAAAAAGCATGCAGAATTTCTCTTTGCTATTTTATCTCTAGGAATTAAAAAGCTCAACTGTTGGGACATATCACTTTATACTAGTTTACAAATTTTCAGGTTTCTGTATATTAATTCCTGTTACTTTTTTTTAGTTCTTTTTTTGTTGTTGTTTTTTTTGTTTTTTTTAAGGTTTGTGTGAGGATAAACAACAGAAAAAAAAAAGAGGGAAGTACTTTATGTCCTTGGGAAATGAATGGACAGCTGAAATTGCAGGTAGACAACAATGTCAATGACCTATGATAGGCAGCTTTCACACTCCGAGGTACCTGTGCAGGCTAAGTCATACTTGGACAGTTTAAACGTAGCTGCAGGTGTAGGGACAGAGGTAAAAAAAATATAATCCTTGCCTCTTAGAAAGACCTCTAAAAACAAGATGAAAGGGATGCCATTACTAATGCTTAGACTTTCAAGCCTAACGTCACCCTCTACCCTATGACACAGAGTGGTAAATCCAATGTCTAAAAAAGAAGATGCTAAGAGTATTATAGGTAGGAGATCCCTCAATACTAAACCATGACTTCCTGCTGAGGACACTGCCACTATATTAAAACCTCCAGAGATTCAGCATGGAAATAGTTTCCTTCACCATCTTTCTTTTCTGTGCTTTTACAAGGCGCATTTCTCATACACACACACACACACACACACACACACACATTTTTTAAATTTAAGTATTTTTCAGTTTTCTGTAGTAACTTTATCTTCATGCCAGATAATACCTGGGGGCCAACTCAAGTTTCTTAACTGTTTAATCAGGGGAAAAATACGAAAAAATGAGTGTGGACATGTAGTATACATTTTTTTTTTTAAAGAGCATTGCTTTTATTTCAATGTTAATACTATAAAAAGCAAATCTAGTCCTAGCTGCTTTTTCTTTGTGGGTAGAGCATCGGCTGGCAGAAGGGTTCCAGATTTGATTCTGATCAGGGGCACATGCCAGTAGGGGGCATGCAGGAGGCAGCGATCGGTGATTCTCTTGATTCTCTCTCATCATTGCTGTTTCTATCTCTCTCTCCCTCTCCCATTCTCTCTGAAATCTCTCTCTCTCTCTCTCTCTCTCTCTCTCTCTCTCTCTCTATATATATATATATATATATATATATATATATTGTTTTTTTTAAATAAACAAAACCAAATCTGCCTTATCCTTTATTTTCTCTAATATCAAAAATTTGACAAAGAACTATTATTTAACTGAGTGCCCATCTAATTTTAACAGAGAGGGTAGGGATGAAAGAAAGATAAACATGTGTGGTCAAAATTACACAACTGTATTTAATGCCTAAATGACATAATATTAGAGAGGGAGATATAGGCATTTGAAAAGTTCTGATGCTTCGTTTCCCTAAGACCAGTGAGAGCGATTGCTTGAATATGTTAAAACATTCTCCCCTGCTTGGTCCTCTGACACTTGCTAAATGGACACAGAGAGGGTCTCTGAGGAGCGTTAGGAGTGTGACTCTGTGCCTGGGCACCAGGCCCGTGGATTAAGTCAGGCTAATTTAGACCAAATGATCTAACCAACACAATGAGTACCAGAGCTCTCAAACAGGTGGCCGAGGGGAACTGCCCTCCACATGTGCATTTTATAAACCTGAATGAGCTCCCAACGTTTAAAAATCAAGGGACTACACCCACATGTCCAGATTTCCCACTTCCCTTAAAATATCAGAAGATCACAACCCTGAGCTCATATTCCCACAACAGCCACAGTGGCTGGGGCTGCACTCTCCCCCACCCCCATTTGTAGTGGCCCCACCACTCAGAACCATCTCCACCCGTCCTGTGACCTGGCTGCCAAGGCAGGGATTGGGATTTGGGCCCTGCTAGGCAAGGCTCTGAATTCCGATTTGGGTCTGAATTCTGGCTTATCACTTAGTAGGAGTGTATTTACCATGTGAGTGCAACTTAAACTCTCTTTCTCATCTGCTAAAAAAGATGTAACACTATCTCCTACATAGGTCTCAGCAAGGATTAAAAAGCACAAAACATAGCAAGAACTTAGCAGAGTATGTGGCATACGGGGCTGAATAAATGGTGGTAGATGTTGTTGTCATCATTATTATCATCATCATCAAATGACAAAGTGGCCAAGAAATACTTGAGAAGATGTTGATTTCCATCCAAGTCAGAAAGGTTTCTGAAAGCACTATTTCTAGTCCCCAAAAGGTGTGGCTCAGTTGGTTGAGCGTCATCCTAAGCACCAAGAGGTCGCCGGTTTGACTCCCTATCAGGGCCCATAACCGGCTTGTGGGCTTGATCCCCAGTGAGATCAATCAATGTCTATCTCTTCTTCTCTTCTCTTCTCTCTCTCTCTCTCTCTCTCTCCCTCCCTCCCTTCCTCCCCCTCTCTCTCTCTCTCTCTTCCTCTCTCTCTCCCTCTCCCCTCTCTCCCTCTCCCTCTCCCTTCCCCTCTACCTAAAAAAAAAGAAATCAATAAAAACATTTAAAAAAGGAATACAAGTTTTATTAACCTACTAAATGTTATTTAAACTGTGAGGAAGAATTAATTACGACAATTAGCATCCAGATTTAATAAATGGAGGGCTGTAAAATGTGTGTTCTTCACTGTAAAGGCTTTGGAATTTGCAAGCTGCAGTAACTGCTATCTCTGTAAGAACTGTAATTCATTGGGAACTTTCACAGTTCAATTACAGAAGGAATATAGGGAAGAAAAATTATACCCAGCCTTCTCTTCATAATTTTAATGCAATCTTGGTGAACTGAAACCGGTAAAAAAAATTCTCGTCAACTTATATTCATAATCTGAGCCAGAAAAAACTAGATGAGAAGTTAAGTCCAATTATTTATGGCATGCTGGCAAAAGCCCATGGTAGGACCCTAATGAATTTTTAGGGAGGTTGGGGAAGGAGGAGGGGAAAAAGTCCATGGAAACCTGTCTCATAAATTCTCTTGAAATGGCATATTTAAGGCCATCAGAGGGTATTAACAGCACCTGGCTGAACACTCTGTGTTCTGATGATAAGTACACTGTGCTGTAAAGCCCTAACAGTTTCTCCAGTGTTGACTTTGGCTACCACGTATATAAAAATGGGTATGAACAAAGGCTAAGTTATGAGCCTTATAAGCATTTTACTTCAAGTCCATGTTAGCAAAGTGCCGTCTATCCCTTATACAACAGCCATGCAAAGTTATAAAAACAGGTATTTTTTTTTTAAGTAAAAAAAAGTGTTTTTCTAAAACTAATAATTTTGTAAATTAAATAACCACAAATGACCAAAACAAACCTTGGAAGGTTCATTTTGTAGAGGAAAAAATGAAAAAATTTTGAGATGGAAATGCATCCTGGAGAATGTACCTGTTCTACACTTCTGGATCCTAGGCTATCCTGTCTTTCAACACAAGCTGTGCTTCACTCAGAAAAGCGAATGGAACCACGAACACACCAATGTCCAACGGCCCCAGTGGAGCTTCAGCAGCAGCACCATGGCCACTCAGGCCGAATCGCTTCACCTCTCCACACTGTTTGGAGTTGATGCCCATTGGCCTGATCCTCCTCTGACCTCAAGAAAGTCAGACCCAGACAAAGGGGTTCTGAGAGCGTATCATTCACCCAATGATCCCACAGAGAAGCGACCCTCCTGCAACTACTTCCTGTGTAGAACTCTGTATCTCACAGACACTGAATCCTCAAAAGGCCTGCACTGAGATTAAACTCATTCTGAAGGAATCCTGAATGCTTCCTCAGCCCCACTCATTGCTCCTTCTCAGACTCCTTTATTGTCCTCCTCCCACCCCCGTCTCCCCAAGCTCTCAGTGTTGGAAGGCCCCAGGGCTTGGCACTCAGCATTTTCTCCTGTCTCTCCATTCTTTTTTTTTTTTTTCCATCACCACTGCTTAAATTCCATTATACACCAACCACTCCCAAATATGTCATCACCTTTCGAACTGCCCCAATATATCTAACTGCCAGTTCAGCAATGATTCTAGACATTCTGTCAGCCATTTGAAAAGGTACGGCGCACGTGGGACAGATAACCACCAAGAACACTACACTGCTGTTGAAGGCAAAATGATGGAGACGGTAAAAAGATCCGTGGTTGCCGGAAGCTTGGGGAGCGGGAGG